TTGAACATAATTAAAGCATAGTGATTAATCACAAAACAATAGGTAACTATATATTGTGAAATATTGATTTCTAGTGACAAATGAATGAAATTTTGTTTTGAAGCATGGTGTAGCATGGGTAACAGTCTTCACACTGGGTACTTATATGTGGGTGTGTCTGCATGTGGGCGGACAGTTAGAGGAACAGTGTCTTGGTTCCTAAGACCATTGGAAATATGTGTTTTCTGATGGTCTTAGGCAAGCCCTGTGAAAGGGTTGTTTGACCCCCAAAGGGGTCGTGACCCACAGGTTGAGAATGCGGCTGTAGATGCTCCATGCAGTCCATTGTTTGCTGCTTTCACGTACAAACTTCCCTTTTATTGGTCTCCCTGCCACAGCATGGCCTCTTCCCTCCAATCCATTCTTCCCAATGTAACCAAGTTAAAACAAATCTCATCGTGGCATCCCCCTTCTGAAAACCTTTCAATAACTCGTTACCCATAATAGTTACAACTCTTGAGTCTCTCTGGCCCCACAGACTACCTGCATCTCTCACCCCATCCCCACACCTTCCAGGGACAAGCTACAGTCTGGGAAATTGTCCTGCTTTCTCACCGTCTACTCCACTTCTTCCAGACCTACGGCAAACTCTGCTCCCTTCTGCCCAGCATCCGGAGTGACAGATCCTCGTATGCTTCCTCAGCGCGAGAATGTAATGACTTTCATTAAGGAGTTTCCTGACAGGAGCACCTCAATGAAAAGGCCCGAGTCTTGGCATCTCTAGGACCATCAGCCAAGCGCAGCACCTGACACATGGCAGACATTCAGTAAACATTTGTTGGTTGGATGGATGGATGGATGGATGGATGGATGGATGGATGGATGGATGGACGGACGGACGGATGGACAGGAAGAGCAAATGCTCGTCTGCTCCTCCTGGCCCTGTGGTTCGGTACCGTCAAGTGGGTGCTGACTCATAACGATCCTATGTACTGTAGAGGAAACACTGTCTGATCATGAGGCAGCTTCACAACTGCTTTTGTGTTGGAGTCTATTGTTGCAGCCACTGTCGACCCATCTTGTCAAAAGTCTTCCTCGCCTCCACAGAAGTGGGATGGTGCGCCAAGCCTCGAGGGCGATGGAACCAATGGAGCAATGCATGCACAGAGCGGGCTACAGGGCTGGCCCCAATCAGAACCAAGCTGAGCCCCTCCCCAGAAGGATGTGCTACAGAGGACAACACTAAACCTACAGGTTGGGGAGAGGAGCCGGCCTGCCACACCCACACGGAAGCCGTTAGGTGCTAGACCCCATATTGACACGGCAAGCCCTCAGGAAGACGTCCCTGCAAGGAGCTGCTAAGGGCAGAGAAGAATGTAGGGTCAACAAGAGCTCCAGACTTGATGACCCCCACTGGTGCATACCGAGGCATAGGACAATACTGGGGACACACAGTGGGGAGTTAGTCCAGTTTGAACCCCCCC